GGAGGGTCCCTGGGGTGACAGAGGGGCTCGGGAGGGGCTGTGTCCCACTCTGCTGGGGGAAGGACGGGAAGGGGGCAGGAACAGCTCCATCTGTCAGATAAATCTTCAGCTGTTTACTTAAATCCTCAGTGTTTCTTCATTTGTTTGTTTAAGAGTTTCCCTGCCAAAAAAGAGCAAAAGGAAGAGGGGAAGCTGCCTCTGTTGGCCACCCTTCCCCAGCTGGAGGGGCCCGGGGCACTCCATGGACAGGGGCAGCACTGGGGCCACCAGGGAAGGTGAGGGGATCTGCTCAGGATGGACCCATTGTCAGAAATGTTCCCATTTCTGAGCAATCCCGGCCCTTATCAGGGAAACCGTGTCTGAGGGACTCCAGAGAGCCCCGTTCTTGCCCCAGGGCCTGCGTGAAGAACTTGGAAGAACTTGTCACCCCTTCCAGCACCCACTGCACCTACAAATACTCCGTGTCTTTTTTTCCTCTCTGCCCTCACTCTTTTGGTAGCATTTGCTGCCTCCAGGGTTGGGTTTTGTCAGCTTTCAGATACTGATGGATCTGTTCAAGACAGCAAAGACCCAAAAAGTGAGGGCTGGRGCCTGGATGTTGGATTTCGTGTGGCAATATCTGCCACAGAGGACTCAAAGCATCTCCATAACCCAACCCTTTATCAACACCCCTAAAATAGTGAAAATCACACATGCAGTTCCTTCCTCCACGCTTTCACCCAAACTGGCCTCTTTTCTTGTCCCAGTACTCAGCAACCCGTGTGTTCTGTGGCAGCTGTGCCTGTCTGTGCACAGACACATCCACATTGCTCTCCTCTTCCCAAATTTGGTCACACCAAGCAACGTTCTGCCTTGATTTTTGAAGAAAGACAGAAATTACTTACTAGTGTACATGAAACGCTATGGACATTCCCAACAACTTGCATCTTTTTTGTTCAGAATAGGTAGAGGCTGCTCATTGACTTTCAGAGTTGTTTTTAAAGTTCATGCTCCTCTTGGTGATGATGTGAGGTTTTATTGTGATGTTTGAAAGCCTCAGTGTTCTATGCAGACTGTGTAAATTGGGGAAAAGAGAGTGAGCACGAGCTCGTGCTCATGATGGCAGCTCAGATAAAGCACAGGAGAAGCTGAACCCAGGAGTCCCTGCCCAGAGAATCCCATCCCTGCTCCCCAGAGAATCCCATCCCTGCTCCCCAGAGAATCCCATCCCTGCTCCCCAGAGAATCCCATCCCTGCTCCCCAGAGAATCCCATCCCTGCTCCCCAGAGAATCCCATCCCTGCTCCCCAGAGAATCCCATCCCTGCTCCCCAGAGAATCCCATCCCTGCTCCCCAGAGAATCCCATCCCTGCTCCCCAGAGAATCCCATCCCTGCTCCCCAGAGAATCCCATCCCTGCTCCCCAGAGAATCCCATCCCTGCTCCCCAGAGAATCCCATCCCTGCTCCCCAGAGAATCCCATCCCTGCTCCCCAGAGAATCCCATTCCTGCTCCCCAGAGAATCCCATTCCTGCTCCCTTCCCACTGCAGAACTGCAGCAGTGACCGTTCTGTGGGTGCAGGCAGTGCCAGCGCTTCCAAACCCAAACCCAAACACAAACCACCTCCTCCAGCAAGAACACAACTCGAGCACTTCAAACTTTGGGCTTTTTTTTCCAGTTTTTATTGAGTGAAAATGTCAAACCTTGCATCAGTCATGCAAAAAAAAAATCAAATAAATAAAACACATATATTAAATTTCTAATAGCACTAAATTCAAGTGGAAAAATATTCAGTTCTTAATAACGCAGGTGCTGAAGAGACCAGATTCAAGTAAATCAGAGCACACCATCCTGTTTAGGGTGTTTTTTTTCACTTTCTGCATTTTTGTCTCAAAACCTATATATATATCTATATATCTATATATATGTATATACATATAGATATATACACACACACATATATATGTGCATACATATTATTTTTATATTTATATATATACACATACATATTTATAAAACATTAAAAAGAGCATTGGTGGTTCAAGCATTTATTCCCCCCCCTCCCCCATGGAAAGAAAAAAAACAACAACAAAACAAAATAAAATTACACATTTAAAATTCAAAATGAGCTAGCAATGGCTTATAGTCCTAGTGTGCAATATGGATATTACAAAAGGCTAGAATCCTCCCTCATTGTCTTTTTTTTCATTTTTGTTTTTAAAGTTTTTTTTTTTTTGCTACATTGGAAAATTTTTTTGAAATTTTTTTTTCTTTACAAAATTCCTTCCACGCAGACTTTAATCCAGTTGAGTTTGTGGCTAGACTGAACAATCTAGTCAATAGTCTTTATTTTTTTTTTTGCTCTTCAGCAGTGAATGGTAGCAGAATCAGGAGGGTCCATCTCAAGGTTTATTTTGTCTGTTTTTTTATCTTGTTTTGGACAGAATAGTTCCATTTCCTCTCTCTTCTCTCCCCTCCTCACAGAGTCAGTTGAATCTCCCTCTCTTTCTCTGGTCATTCTTTACAGAGTTTGGAATGACAAAGCACCCGCTCTGATGGGGCGTTGGGCTGTTAAGGCCCTTTTTCAGAAAAGCACTTAAGCTCGGGCTTAAACCTGGGCCCACCCAGAGTCATCTGCTTAAGGGTTTTGCTGAATTAAAGCCTGAACATGGCAGAATAAAAAGTCGGGTTGAACTTTCTTTTGTTGTTGTTGAACAGAGACAGTGTAAGAGTTTGAGAACAGGACAGGAGAGGCCCTGAGAGACCCCGACCCTCTGAGGGGCACCGAGAATCCCTCGGGAAACAGCTCCATTCCCGGGCCAGATCCTGCACAGGGGCCACAGAGCTGGGGAGAAGGGCTGGGATGTGGGGAGAAGGGCTGGGATGTGGGGAGAAGGGCTGGGATGTGGGGAGAAGGGCTG